TGCTCGACAACAATGCTTCTGGATGTGTGAAGGTTCTATTCAGTGAAAAACCTGCAGCTTTCGTTTTGTACCAGTTCGTTTTCTTCCTGCACTGTCCTTGCCAGATTCAGTTTCCTATATCAAACACACCATCTAGAGAAAATCTGAGAAATTATTCACCACTTGGCCATCAGGTTTGCCAGCCTGCATTTGTTGTTGACTTGGGAGATTCACCCATGCATCTGTAATGTTTAATTTATGCCAGAGCTTGTGGCAGTCCAGTGTCTGAGTTATTATCCAATACTGTTATGAGTCTCTGTATCATCCTGTGTGTATAGTGGCACTTCAGTGTCTTGATCACTGCTCACTTCAGTGACTTATGAAAGATGTTATATTTAGTGGTAAAAGCACAACCATCACATTTAGGTGACATTACAAGCTTTAGATAAGGCTAAAGAGGTTTTTGTGGCATTTAGGGATTTGGAAAAGGCGTATGACAGGGTGGATAGGGGGGCAATGTTGCAGATGTATGGTATAGGAGGTAGGTTACTGAAAGCAGTGAAGAGTTTTTATGAGGATAGTGAGGCTCAAGTTAGAGTATGTAGGAAAGAAGGAGACTATTTCCCAGTAAAAGTAGGCCTTAGACAAGGATGTGTGATATCACCGTGGTTGTTCAATATACATATTTATAGATGGTGTTGTAAGAGAAGTAAATGCGAGGGTCTTGGCAAGAGGTGTGGAGTTAAAAGATAAAGAATCACACATAAAGTGGGAGTTGTCACAGTTGCTCTTTGCTGATGACACTGCTCTTGGGTGATTCTGAAGAGAAGTTGCAGAGGTTGGTGGATGAATTTGGTAGGGTATGTAAAAGAAGGAAATTGAAAGTGAATACAGGAAAGAGTAAGGTTATGAGGATAACAAAAAGATTAGGTGATGAAAGATTGGATATCAGATTGGAGGGAGAGAGTATGGAGGAGGTGAATGTATTCAGATATTTGGGAGTGGACGTGTCAGCGGATGGGTCTATGAAAGATGAGGTGAATCATAGAATTGATGAGGGGAAAAGGGTGAGCAGTGCACTTAGGAGTCTGTGGAGACAAAGAACTTTGTCCTTGGAAGCAAAGAGGGGAATGTATGAGAGTATAGTTTTACCAACACTCCTGTATGGGTGTGAAGCATGGGTGATGAATGTTGCAGCAAGGAGAAGGCTGGAGGCAGTGGAGATGTCACGTCTGAGGGCAATGTGTGGTGTGAATATAATGCAGAGAATTCGTAGTTTGGAAGTTAGGAGGAGGTGCGGGATTGCCAAAACTGTTGTCCAGAGGGCTAAGGAAGGGTTGTTGAGGTGGTTCGGACATGTAGAGAGAATGGAGCGAAACAGAATGACTTCAAGAGTGTATCAGTCTGTAGTGGAAGGAAGGAGGGGTAGGGGTCGGCCTAGGAAAGGCTGGAGGGAGGGGGTAAAGGAGGTTTTGTGTGCGAGGGACTTGGACTTCCAGCGGGCATGCGTGAGCGTGTTTGATAGGAGTGAATGGAGACAAATGGTTTTTAATACTTGATGTGCTGTTGGAGTGTGAGCAAAGTAACATTTATGAAGGGATTCAGGGAAACCGGCAGGCCGGACTTGAGTCCTGGAGATTGGAAGTACAGTGCCTGCAGTCTGAAGGAGGGGTGTTAATGTTGCAGTTTAAAAACTGGAGTGTAAAGCACCCTTCTGGCAAGACAGAGATGGAGTGAATGATGGTGAAAGTTTTTCTTTTTCGGGCCACCCTGCCTTGGTGGGAATCGGCCAGTGTGTTAATAATAACAATACAAGCTTTGAGGATGGCAGTGATAAGTATCAAGAGTGAAGAGAACTTTGGCTGAAAGGTTCAGGCTGTGCAGGTATATCTTGACTTACGGAATACAATAATGTTTAAACTAGTCAACAAGCAGGGCGCCTCTAATACATGCTGTCTTGATAAGCTGCCAAATAAAAGGCAAAGTGGTTTTGTCTTTATCTTTTAAAATACATGCGAATCATAAATAACCAAGGGCACCTGGATTCAAGCCACTCCTTCAGCGGCTTGAATCCAGGTGCACTTTTCTTTTTATTAGTTGATGTAAGTTCTAGATGTCATTGTGTTAGCATTATATACTTGATCAGGCTCATGGCCACCCTTGTAAATAATTGCCAGTTGGGCAGGAAATTTCCGGTGGCTTTCCGCGTTAAATTTAACGTGCAGCTGACTGCACTTTAATCTGGCCAAAACTAAACAAACACTCTTGTGCTGTCTTTCCTTCCTGCTAACAGTTTCATAGCACACTTTGGTTTCTCCCTTATTATTAGACCCTTAAGCAGTGGCACATTTCTTTGATTTTTGCTCACTCCATGCATTCGGTAACTTTTCTGTCTTATTTAAGTATTGGCCTCTTCTCACTCTTTTCGGCATGTCACAATCTGGATTACTCGTTGCACAAGCTCTTGGCTTTACCTCATTCTTTCTAATTGTATGAATTGCTTCTCTTTCACTGAAGACAAGGGCTGTCTTCATCATAGGTGCACCACCTTCAAACATATGTAACATTTTTTTATTTTAGATGCTCATGCTTTCATGCACCTTAAGCAACACTAGTGGCCCTCTTGGGTGCCATGATTAATATCTAGAGATGAGATGGGTGATGAAAAGATTCAAGCTCTCTTCAATCATGCATGACTGGGTAAGGTATGGTACGTATCTATGAGTCAGTTGGTGCATAGGAGATTGTTTACATCGTTGGGTAACAGTAGGCCTCCCTCTAAAAGGAATTGGCTCGCAGTTAGGATAAATGCAGTGCAGAAGGGAAATCCCATTAAAATCAGCCGTGTTCTTAATGAGATTTGTCGTCCAATTTGGACTAATCCTTATTTTCTCTAAATTTGTCATGCTACAGCATAATATACCTTTTCTCTATGCAATGTGGACTTGGAAGACATTTCATTCTTGTTTTATTGAAAATATGCTTTGTGAACACATGTTATGTGAGAGTCTGCTATAATTATAATGTTGATATTACTGCCTAGGACTACTTGGGACATGAATTATACTGCATAACATTGGGTGAGTGAAGGCTGTTCGAGGGTTAAGGACAAAAAGACAGATGGTGCATTTGCTGATCATTCACATGTTAAGCAAATGCATACAAGTCAATTTTCATAGCTTTGGTCATGAACTTGGAATCTTTCTGCATGTTTTGTAATTCAAGAAGAACTTCCACTGTGTGGTAGATTGATCTTTTCTGACTTCCAGCACTTTATTATCTTAGCACTTGTAAGATCAGTGGCAGCAGTGTTTGTCCTTGTTAATGACAATTATGATTTTTCAATTGAATTTTTCTTGTGATTTTGGCTATCCTTTCATCGCTATTGGTTGTTAGACTGTACTGCAGTGCAGTTGCATCTGGCCACAGACTCACCCATGTCCATTTAGCTCTCAGCTTGATTGAGAATTATTAGGGTGTGGTGCTTCAACATCTTTCAATAGATTGTCCCTTTTATCAAAGACCTTGCTGACTATTTTCAACCTCTCTTCCATTGCCTTGCATGCTAATTTATTTTTTCTGTTCCAGTTATGATTGTCATCATTTCTCTCTTGTATTTGCCTTCAACACTTGTGTCTCTATGGCTAATATCACCATGGCTAATATTACCATATAGCACTGAAAAATCTTTGTGGGTTTACCACTTCAAAACTATCCCTAGTTCTAGTCCATGAAATAGCTTAACCACAGCAATTAACTACTGGGGTCTTGTGGTTTTGCTCCTTATCTGATACTAGTTACCTCTTAAAGTTACTAGCAGGAAGATAGCATGAAATTTTAAATATTACTTTAAATATTTTTAAATAATTGTAATGTTTTTCATCATTGGGGAAATAGGCTGAGAAATTAGTTACTATTATATTAGTGATGTACATCTGTCCACATGCCAGTATACATGTCATTTGCTCCAAATTCCTCCGACAATCCTCCTTTGTATAAAGTCCTGTTAGGTAAGCTACCACTGACATTTGTTTAAAAATTGTCACAGTTGTGCTATCATATGTGAAACAAGTCATTTATGCTGAGGAACAAAAATGGTAATGAGTATTGTCTTGGCAGGAATATCTAAATGGAAATTAGATGAAAAATGCAAGTAAAGAAAAACACAAGTACATATATTAAAAGCTGGAATCACATGAAAGGGGGGGGGGGACTGTAGAAGCAAAGACAGATCATGAAAAGATCCATACCTTTGAGAGGGCGCTTTGGAGGTGGAGAAAATTTAGTACACATAGATACTGTACAGTGGGATACGGCTGGTGCGTTGAAAGAAAGATACTGTACAAGATGTAACTATGTAATCATCAGGGAGAACATGCTACTTTTACTTTCCTCATGGCATTACTGTTCAGTACACAGGTTAAAGTAAGCATAGGAATTGAGATATGCCATATTTGAGATTTTGGTAATTTGTAGTCTGTTATTTCATCTAAATTAACTTTGTTAATGAAATAATTAAGTTCTACCATGAAAGAATAATGTTTTAGAATTTTTATTAATTCAAGAAATAGGCAGGAAAGTAAAGGTGATAAATGTAAACTGTCCTATTTTGATAGTTGCTGTTATATATTCCATGTAAAACATCGTAATGGGTTTAATTTATGGCTTTTTCCATGCTATACTTTCCTCTAATGCATAGGTTGCTCTAAGTTTTGAAACTGAATTTGTATATAATTCTCATTGTATACTGAGGATTATTTTTTGTTCTGTGACTTGTTAAATGTTTACTGCAATAAGTACAAAGAATGGGAATGATTGGATCCACTGATCATGAGGACATTAGCTAATATTATTAATTTATGAGGGCCTCTTGAATGATGAAGACTTGAAACAAAATGCACAAATTATAGAAACAGGTCTTGCACACCTCATGGCAGCTATTGTAGACAAATGATACATTGGCATGTAAAGCATAGTAAAATTACAAAAGTTAGATTTATTTATTTTATTGTTTGTGAACACTGGTCATATTTTTCTCCCCTCCTATTACATATACCTTTGTTGTCAAAGTTATTTTGTTGCAGATCTTCATAGAATACCAAGCAGCTACATTCCACCTGACTAAAGGCTCAGGCCCAGTCCATATAAGTGGTATGCACCAAACAAAAACTAACATCATTGGTGAGGATGATATGGATGAATTGGCTGAAGAAGAAGGTGAAGATGAAGAGGAGGAGGAAGAGGAAGTAGAGGAATTACCAGTAAGTCATTAATGTAGTTAGAGAAAAATATATTTTAATCAAGTATAGGGTAATTTTATTTTATATCTTTGCATTATGGCTTGTATGTGTAATGCTGTTTGCCATCATGACTCACAAAATCATAACACAATTACAAACAAATCACATAACATTCTGTGATTTGTTTGTAATTGTGTTATTATGATTTTGTGAGTCATGATGGCAGCTTTGAAAGGACTTGAGCTAGAGCACACCACAGCCACACTGGTGTGGGATTTGTCTGTGAAAACCTACATTTGTGGTCAGTAGGGCCCATGCTAACCTCCCCATGGTATATACAAATATTCTTAATTGGATGTATCTTATTAAAGTCAGCTGGTCAAGTGATTATTGGACTGGCCTGTGAATTTTAGGACTCACTTGCCATGGGTTCAAGTCTCACCCATTCTGTGATTTCTTTTAACCAGCTTTTAATAACATTCAAGATTTTATTGAGCATTCTTGTCAATATTATGTCTAATTCATTTTTTTTTCTCTTCCAGCCAAAGAAGAAGACAAAGAAGTAGAGAAGAATGTATGAATTGTCCCAGCTTCACCAGTGTCGTGTTTTCTATTGTAGCTTAATTCAGATGAATGGACATAGCTTCGTAACATTTCCATGTTTTATATTATAGCTTCATTCAATGATGTGATTAAAAATGTGTGTGTGTGCACTTGATTGATTATATAAACAAGAAAAATGGACAATTATTGTTTTTTATTTTATCTATGATGACACCTTTCAACTTCTTCAAGGTTATTTTGACTCCATTTGAAAATTACTCCTCATTCATAATCAGGTATTTATTAAAACCAGAAAATTAATGGTAATTATTACTCAGTGGGTCTAGTATATTATACATATTCTTATGTCCTGCCTATATAAACATAAATGTAATAATTATTTCTTGGGAATATGCATTACTTCCAGTAGTAGGTTAATGTATAATTCTTAAAACAAAGGGCCCATAATTCTGCAAAGCATTTTCAGCTAATGCTGACATTATAAAAATACATTGGACATGTAATTTATATAAATGTAGGTCAAGTAGTACAGTATGTATATGAAATTATATAAAGTAAAAGAAATTTTAGTAAAAAATGAACATTTAGTGAACAGATTTTAGCCCTTTGACTGTTTACGCCGTATAAATACAGTACGTCTTATGCACCACTGTTTCTGACGTATACATACTCAATAATTCTAGCGGCTTCAAATCAAGCGGGAGAAAGCTGGTAGGCCCACATGTGAGAGAATGGGTCAGTGTGCACCACAAAAAAAATCCTGCAGCACACAGTGCGTAATTAAAACACCGACTTTGAAGTGTATTTTCATATAGTATTTATCATTGTATTCATGTTTTCATGGTCTTAGGTGATAAAATGGAAAACATATTACAGAAATAAAGATGATTTTCATTACTTTGACGATGAAAACGACCTTGAAACTGAGCTCAGAGTAGCGGAAATGCTCGATTTTTACCAATGCTCAGGAGTAAACAAATCACACCACACGTCCAATACGCGTCAACTGGGGAATCTAATATTCTTTCACTAGTGCACTGATATTATTTATATCATTTTTACAATAATACAGTAGTCTGCATAACAGTAAATTTTGTATTTTTTGTATGAATAAAAAATCAAAATAGAAAGCAATAATAATACAAGATGGGCCTAGAGATGTGACTAATGAACAGGGGATATGTTATTTTAGTGCCAAGAATGTCTACCTTGTTTATTCTGGACCCTATTTTGAAATTGGCATCTTTTTTAATTTGTGTGAAATTGGCCAAATTGCCAGTTTCTGACCACTACATTGGGTAGTTCAAATTGGTAAATGGGCGGTTTCTTGTACTCGGCTGATAGATAAAATGGAGTTTTAAAGAAATAGCTATGAGTTTGGTCAACTGGAACAACGGAATTGGCTGAAAACGGGGCTCAAAGTCGGCGAAATCGTCAATACACATGTCGCCAAGACCACTAACTTCACGGGAGCGTAATTCCGTGAGTTTTCGACCAAATTTCGAACTTTTGGTGTCATTACCATTGGGAAAAGATTCTCTTATCATTTCATAAGAAAAAAATAATTTTTTTTTTTTTCAAAAAATTTATCGACAGAATGACAGTTTCAGAAAGGGGCCTGTGACAGTCAAAGGGTTAAAACTGTGTTAATTGAAATGAGGTAATTAAAAAAGAAAATAGAGAATTGAAAATGGATTGTAGAAGTGATAACATTAAAAAAAGAACATGTAACTTGGAAGTTAAAGTGGGGAACTGCACACTCCTGCCTAGGTATAGGTCTCGCATACCTCACTCGTGGATATCTCGTGGAGAAATGCCTGTCACTGCTTCCCAGAGACTCAGGCTGCACTGTTGGTGCACCATATCTTAACCTTTTCAGTGGCCATCATGCAGGACTACATTGATGAAGCCAGGATTTTGCATAGTTCCGAGTCATGAACTCTACTCTCAGAATGTATGTATGACCTCTATAAGTTTAGTGCTAGTCATTGGAGATTTTATGTTTGAAACATAGAGATTAAGAGGTAATATAGGGTCACCAAGGATGTATTTCAGAGGGTTTAGGTGGTCTAGGCATGGAGAGGGATATGTTGATAGGTGGAAGGTAGGATGAGTAGGAAGTTGTCCCAAGAACAGTTTGATAGCTTAAAACAGGCTTTGAGTTCTAGGGGGCTTGGTCCTCCAGCAGACTTGTGTGAGTATGTTAGAGCATATGAGTGAATGCAGGAAAGTACTTTTTAATAAACGTACTATTGGAGTGTGAATAGGATAACTTATGCAGGGAGTCAGGGAAAAGTAGTTTGCCAGACTTTAGTCCTGAAGGTGTAAAGGGCAGTGCCTGCACACTGTAAGAAGGATAGGGATATTGCAGTCAGAGGGTGATCTGATTGTGATGTCAGCACATTTCTGGAAAGACTGATTAAGTAAATGATGTTAGTGAGTTGCTATGTCGTGGTTGAAGATGGCTATTCAGTCAAAAAAAAGTATTACAGGTTGGCTTTCCAACATACTCCACCACAGGATGGTTTCCTTCATGCTTCATTTGTATGTGTCACATTTCTAGTACAGGAGGGTCCTGCTTATACAGCAGGTTAGGTTCTGGGCTACCGCTGTAAAGCAAAAATCTATGTAAAGTGAAACCTATCCTTTTTTCATTGTCAAATGCATATAAAAGCTGTTAACATGTTTACACTGTCATATATTAAGTGAGCAATAGCTAGGCCTAATAAATGCATATACAGTACACACAACTTACCTTAAAATATTTTCATCCTTAGCTTATAGTGAGTGTTGGAATATATATTGTAGGAAGTCTGAATGAATGAAGAATGGGTATAATTGAAATTTGCTGCATTAGAAAAACACTGTAAAACAGGACCTGCCTGTAAATGCAAGTGTTTTTTTGCTGGGTCCTTGAACACTGATGTTCAAAGCAATGAGTAAGCAAATTCTTTCTGCTGCTCACAAACTATGAACTTCCTACAGGGGTGTTCCTTAGACTATTTTTCAGTGGTCTCAGCAAATGGAATTGCTGGTAACAATGTTGATCTGAGTTAAAATGTAGCAAATTGTTATCTATCAAGCCACATCTGGGATTCTGGACATCTTCCCACTGCTGTCTGGTTAGAAAATGGACTCAGCTACCGTATTTTACGGCATCGAAGACGCTATTTTTTTCCCAAAATAAATCTTGAAAATTTACCCAGCATCTTGGAGGCCAAAGGTTATGTTGTTCATAGGCCTCAATCTAAGCCTATAGAAGTGTTTCCATAGATAGTAATTTAAGCTAAGACAATGTAATCAGATGGACTACAGGTAGTATCAGTAAGCTAATTCACCTGTGTCAAACTACCTGGCAATATGTTTACTTACCTCACGATCCTGATATTAAAGGGAATATTGACAGGTATCAAAATGAAAAGGAAAATTGCAGTATGTTAAAAGGGGTTAAAAAAAAATACATACCAGTATAAGATGGTACAGCCTCTCCTCACTTAGTGACATACTCATTTACCAACTGCTCGGAGTAACGACCAGTTCTCTGACCAACATACAAACCTAAGTAATGTATATTAGAGCTGATTTCCTCTATTCTGTTTATTACAGTATACAGTACACTACTGCATAAACATTTGAAAAACACTAAAAATGTTATAAATGGTATAAAGGTGACATTAAAAAAAATCTAAAGATGGTTAACACAAACCCACTATCTGTACAGTTTGCTCCTCTCTTAACCCTTTGACTGTCGCGGCCGTATATATACGTCTTACGAGGTACCATGTTTGACGTATATATACTCATAAATTCTAGCGGCTTCAAATCAAGCAGGAGAAAGCTGGTAGGCCCACATGTGAGAGAATGGGTCTGTGTGCACCACATAAAAAAAATCCTGGAGCATGCAGTGCATAATGAGAAAAAAAAAACTCCGACCATTTTTTTTAATTAAAATGCCGACTTTGTGGTCTATTTTCGTATAGTATTTATGGTTGTATTCTCATTTTCTTGGTCTCATTTGATAGAATGGAAAACATATAGAAGTAGAGGTGATTTTGATTGATTTTACTATAAAAAGAACCAGGAAATGGAGCTCAAAGTAGGGAAAATGTTTGATTTTTGACAATGTTCAAAAGTAAACAAATGATGTCATTGTTCAACAAATGTCCAACTAGCCATTCTAATAGCAGTCATAAAATGGGTTGATGTTATTTATACAATTATTACAGTATTGCAGTAGTCTGCATAATAGTAAGTCTTCTATTTTTTGTCTGAATAAAAATTCAAAATAGAAAACAAGAGTAATATCAGAGGGGCCTGGAGACATGATGATGAACGAAGAAAATGTTATTTTGAGCCAGGAATGTCTGCATTGTTCATTCTGGACCTTATTTTGAAATTGACATTTTTTTTAAATTTCGTGAAATTTGGGCCCCAATTGCAAATTTCTGACCATGTTTTTGGGGTTATTTGGGAAATCGGTAAATGGGCAGTTTCTTGTACTCAATCGATAAAAAAAAATGGAGTTCTAAAGAAATTTTAGCTATGAGTTTGGTCGACTGGAACAATGGAATTAGCCGAAAGTAGGGCTCAAAGTGGGCGAAATCGCCGATTTGTAAATATCGCCTAGGTCGCTAACTTCGCGAGAGCATAACTCCGTCAGTTTTCCATCAAATTTAGTTTTTTTGGTCTCATTACAATCGGGAAAAGATTTTCTATCATTTCATAAGAAATTTTTTTTTTTTTTTTTTTTTTTTTGAAAATTTGCGACACCAGGAGACACCTCAGGATTGGGGGTTGCGACAGTCAAAGGGTTAATGACCAATTCGCTGACCGACCTACTCTCAAGAACAGAACTAGGTCATTAAGTGAGGAGAGGCTGTAATACACAAAAACCATCATTTGCATCCACTTGCACACTTCAAGACAGTGAGCAGAAAGAGAACATGGCCATTCACAAGAAATAGCTACACACTTAGGAAGAGATGGTTGGTTGGTATTTAGCAATCTTAGAATATTTGGCTGTATACTGAAGAGCAAGAGCAGTGGATAATGTGTTATTTTTGTAACTAACTGTTAACTTTTTTTTTTTTTTTTTTTTTTTTTTTTAGTGCTGTTTCACATAAATTTAGTGAGTTGCTTAGCTTGTTTTAGGGGAGTTTTGTTTTTCCAGAATTTAGCATGTCAGA